CATTATTGGCACGATGACACTGTGGTTCAGCAAAAAGAAACAATCAAGGACAGATGTTTACATTCACTGTGTTAGTAAAGGATTTCTCATTTTTAACCTCCTCGTGGCTTTCTTATGCGTAGATTATTTATTTTGCGTCTCTTCCTTTTTTTCATTATTTTGTTTCCGTTTTCTTTTGTCTCAAAGATCACAGGCACCTTTTTCTCTTTATCTCCCCAGCTTCCTCTCCATCTGAGCTCCCCTGATCTGGCCTTGTGTTTATCTCAATCCTTTTTTCCAGCTCCCCAGCTCCCACACATTGACATTCAATTCTCTCTCCACCCGTCTCTTATTCCTCCATCTGTGTTGTTGTCTGTGATCTGGCCTGGTCTGTGATCGGTCACATGAGAGATGCTGTTGACACGACAAACAAGTGACAGCTTGAGTCTACATCGGATGCCATTTCCCTCTCTCGCTCTTTGACAAACAATCAATCACAGTTCAATTCAAACTCACATTCTAAAGTGTCAGTACACACAGATTTTTACATCAGAAGCAATACATCTCTTTTTCTGTCACACAGACACATTTTGCACTTTATACACCAGTATGTCTGAACACCAACAAATGGATTCACAAAAAAATGCTTCATAGATCAAAAACGCCTCCACACTAAGGCCTCAGCACACACAGTTATCTGTATCCAACATACTCACGGTGGCTCTCTCTTTTCTCTCACACACACACACACACACTCGTTCTTCATCATGCCCGCGGTGTCAGAAACATGTAGTGCGTTTCCTCTGTCAGCAGGTCAACATACCAGAAAACCTCTGGGCGGTGTCTTTGCAGCCTCCAAACTAAATATGGCTGATTTTCATGGACCGGAGAAAGCACTTTTGTGCCGCTTCCATTAAAGTAAATGGATCAAATAAATACATAAAAACACCATTCATAAGAAAGAAATAATCTGGACTCCAATCACTTAATTAAGTAAACAAAAGCATGCTTGTATAGTATAGTAACAAGCACAGGCGATCGATATATATATATATCTTCATAAAAATACATCTCTTAATCACTAACGCAGACAGCCGAAATCAATAGAGGATCACAACTTTCTTTATTTTCAGACTGTTTCTTATTATTCCTTTTTCTTCCTTTTATTAAACTATTTGGACTATTGTTCATGTACTGTAAACTTTAAATATTGGCGATAGAGCCTGCGGGCTAAAGACCTTACACAAACATTTGAAATTCAAACACATGTCAACCATTACCAAAATACTAAAACCTCTCTTCATTCTCATATTCTTTAGAGCTGAAGCTTATATACATTGCAGTAAAAAAACATGTGCCTGAAAAGCCAATTGGCTTGGCTACTAAAACCTTCAAGTTTCTCCCTTTTGTTTCCTCTTTTTCTTTCCTTCATGGGTTTTAGATCGGTCCAGAGGCCTGGGAGCACTTAAACTAAACTCGGGGAAAAGCAGGAGAGAGAGAGAGAGAGGCAGATTGCATTAAACGAGCTAATACACGGAGCAGGGAGGGAGAGTGATGGATGAAAAAGAAGAATGGAGAAAGAAAGGAAAAGAGCTGAGAGATGAAAGGATGGGAGACGCCCTACATTTCAGCAGCTCTGGAGTCACCAACAGACTCCCGGTGACAGATTACCCCGCTCCGCCTAAGAACAACTAACACCCGTCGATACGTACGCATCTGGGCCACGCCGACTGAGAAAACAAACTCATTAATTCACAGGCTAGCGAAAACAAACAGAACCTTTCACTCTGAGAACTAATGCAATCTGATCAAAATGGGACACTGATCTATGCGTTGGCGTTTACAAGTGCCCCCCCCCCCTGCCTTTGGCAAGACAAAGTGAATATTGTATTAGACGGAGTGTGCGCGGCTAAAGTCAGTGGGTGTTGTTTGTGCGAGACAGCGCACACCAACAGACTTAGGGAATTCAAATGAGTAAAGAAGCAGGCAGATTGAAGAAAGAGGAAGACAAATGAAAGACATACAGAGACAGATGGAGAAAGGCAGAGAGAGATGCATGATGGGAGGTTGGTATAGATGCTTGGCAGAAGGCTGGGAGTGCAGCCAACCACACACACACATCACATACCTCGACGCCTCAATGTCACCTCGTAACACACACACACACACACATCACACACACTGACTTTGGTTGTCAAGAGATTGAATTGCAAATTAATTAATTTTTTTATTTATTTATATGAACTGGGATTTTATTCAAACATGTTAATACATACGTTTTTGAATGAAGCAAATTAATGAATGGTGAAAACAATTAGGAAGGAAGAACGATTAAATCAATTTAAATATTGTTGAAAGACTTGGTATATGTCAAATAGATGTCTAAAAAAAAAAGATTCTCTCTAATTTTACCTTGATCTGTTTTTTTTCCTGCAAATGACTAAATCAATGCTGACTGTGACGCTAGAACTTAACATAAACAGATGAGAGTACTTTAATAGTTCGGAGGTATAAATGGCCTCCTTCCTGTTTGAACTTCTACCCACTAATTGATTGAAATGAGATAATGACAGCTTTTCCTGTCGCTAAATTACGTCCACATCCTCCTGGGAATACAAGCGCCCTCTGGGCTTCTCTGGGTTGTAATGAAAGACGGAGCGAGGAAGAGACACGCAAATAGAGGGTAAAGAAACACTGAAGGGAGACGAGAGGAATGAGAAATTACACTAAAGAGTGAGAAGATGGGACACATGGAGACATATGGAATTATTTACCGTTGAAAAGTCAAACGAGAAAAATACAGACTTGAGTCAAGGGGGAAATTATGTGAAACAAGTCAAACTGTGGGGTCAAATCTGAGGTCATCTGAAAGGAAGCGAGAAATTGGTTGGTCACAAATGAGAATCTTATAAGCAGAGGTTCTTCCCACACTCCTCATAATGCTTGCAAAATGAGAGCGTTTTCTGATGGCAAGTAATGAAGAAAACTGGTTTTCTATGGTGTAGTTTAGACCAAAGTGAAAATGGTATCAAGTAATGCTTGAAAACGGTCACTAAAGTGCAGTGACTCACAATCTTGGGTACTGCTCTTTTCCCCTCTAGTGTTTGACCAGGGCATGACTTTGTTTGTTCAATAAATGAGGCTCCCTCCACTCATCTATAGTCCTCAATTGTGTTGCAGCATTTCCAGAATGTTACATATAATGACAAAAAACATTATTCAGTAAACTCTGTATGGCAAGGTTAATACATCCGACATCATTTCACATTAAACTTACTCTCAGGATATCATGCAGTGATAAAACTAGAACATCAAATTTGGTCGAAGAGAGGATAAAATATGATTGTCTTCACATTTCTTCACACCCAACTCCCACGACACAAAAGTGTTATGTAAGTAAATGTTACAAACAACACACAACCTTGTAAATTGAATCAACCCCATGGCCTTGCTCTTGTGCCACTCACACAACAAATGTAACATTTCAAGCCCCACTTCTTCTGGCCTGGATAGCAAAATGGTAAATTGCCATGGCAGTGGTAGTTTATGTTTTGGCCTAAAGGGGCAGTGCGAGAGGAAAGCTCATTGACTGTTAAAAGAAGGGAATAGTTCATCCTCTGGGGAGTGTCATGAATGAAAATGTAATGGTGATGTGTCCATTCAATTTTGATATTTCTTGTGCACAAGTGAACATTTTTGCCTGATGGTGTCACTAGAGGAAAGGTTAGGGGTCACCTAAAGTATTAGCTTTCCTCCTCTGCAGGAACATGAATATGAAGTTATTAACTAACCCACTAACATGTTCATCCTTCAGCCCTGTTGCTAAAAACAAATATTAATAAAGTATAAAGCGGCCTATAGCTGGTGAAAAAATATATTGTAATGTATTTCTGCAGTCCCTTTGTTCTCTCTCATTTCTCTCTCCTGAGCAGTATTTCCAGTGCAGCCAACAGGAAGACCAGTAAACTCAGCTGGTGACTTTTCTCCTGAAAACATGGAGCTGAACGGGAGGAAATCCTGTGTGATATCTATTGCTGATGATGATTGCAGAACCGCTGCGGCCTGAGTGAAACGAAACAATGAGGATGTTCTGGCACCAACACAGTCAACATCACTTAACACACACACACACACACATTTTGTCCTGCCCTGCCTTATTCTCATTAAACCTGCAGTGAGTCATGTCCAACAACAGGGTTCAGATTAGAGAGAGGAGAGAGAAATGGGATCCGGCCAAAATTATACTATATATGGCAATGTTTGAATTGCAGACGTTTTGGCAGTAAAAAGCCTGTTATCAAGCCCACAACCTATAAAAGTAGTGTAATTATACTTCCATACAGAGTGTTAAAAAAGGTGAAAGGTCATTATCATAAGGTTACATAAAGTGCATGCTTATATGGCATTAGAGGTTATTTTCAAAGTCCTGTGTTGTCAAGTCTTTAATGACATAATGCTAATCACCATACGTCCATACACCGCAGTATAAACGATAATTATGTAACATTCTTCCTCGGTATTTCCGTTGCGGTTGCCGCTCCTAATAAACCTTTTTATTGAGACGATCGCACCTCGGTGTATCCCACCGCAGAGCGATGAACTCCAGCCAAAATCTCCTCTGGCGGGACACACCCGCCTTGCGCTGCAGAGCGGTTTCAAACTGGAAACCAGCAAATCAAGGTGTGCGTGCATCCTAAAACACATTAACCCCCCAAAAAACAGTAGCCAAAACATCGACCTGGATTTAACGGCCCCATCTCGGACCACCGAGAAGAGAATAATTCGTTTCAGATACATACACAAGTAAAACAAAATAATCCTAAAAGTCCACGAATGTGTTAACTTTAAATATTCACAGAAAAAAAGAAAGAGAAGCATGAAAGAGAAGGATGACCCAAAATACTAAGCACGAGACGGACAAATCACCAATTAATGCCACCTGTAGGGCACGCGGGCGCATAGAAAAGGCGATAGCGAACAGCTGCTTGAACATATATATAAATAGATGAATACTTAATTACCTTTATATGATAGCCTCAGCCGCGGTACATTTAACTTGGTCGATGAGACGGTGGCGACAAGTGCGACGAGAATCATGTTGAAGAAAGGTGTAAATCCCTCCATTCTGCCGAGGAGATGCCCTCCGGCTTTTGACTGATCCTAATTAGACTATAAAATAGGATGCCTATATAATCAAGCAGTATATTCCAAGATAATTTAAAGGGGGGACAGTTGTTGGATCCTTGTTCTCAGTCACAGTGCCAACATTTGCGTTTTCAGGTGGAATTCCCCCGGTGCGTAATCGGGTGTTTGACCGAACAGCTGCGTCCTCTCCGCGGAGTGACTGCCGCTCTGCCCGGGCTGATGAGGTGATTCACTCCGCTCTAAAGGCTGACACTCTGTCAGATCACTGCCCAACAGAAGTCTGTTTCAGTCAGAGAGACAGGGAGAGAGACACCACGCCTTAATAGTGAGAGAGAGAGAGAGAGAGAGAGAGAGAGAGAGAGAGAGAGAGAGAGAAGTAGCGCTTCAAGTGACCTGCCCCTCTTTTACGCACATCAGACTCCCCAGGCAAGGCGCACTTGGAGGCACGTTCTTACAGATGATTCATAGCACCATTTCAACATCTAGTAAAGTGCATTCATCATTTAGCTTTGAGAAACTTTTATAGAGGCCATTTATCGCAGTAAACCTTTAATAAATAGTTTGTAACACATTATTAAGTGGACAGTAGGACATTTGAAGTGTATGGATGAAGTAGTACATCAATAAATAACAAAACTATGTTTTATTGTAAGCCATTTATTAAATGTGTGCGTATATACACACAAAGAGGGAACGATATATATATATATATATATATATTTATATTTATATATATATATATATATATATATATATATATATATATATATTTATATTTATATATATATTGTATATATTTATAATGATGCTAAATGAAGGGTGGGCGTTGAATCAAAGTTTTACCAATACAACAAATTCAGCCCAAGATATTCTGAACAACAGAACAAAAAACAAACTATAGAAAGATCCTTGCTCAAAAAATATTACCAAACTCAAGTTAGAAAAATAAAATGTCTTGTATTTTGGGTGAACTGGCCCTTTAAGCAGGTGTAGAGCACTGAAGAAGACGTTTTCAACATATTGAAGACATCAAGAAGCTCTATGATTTATGGGCTATAACTATGAAAAACATCTCAATCTCTCAATCTCCACATTTCTCTCCACTGTGAGCCATGCATGCTTGAACTTCCTTAACCCCTTCAGAGCCAAACGGGACGTGTTCAGTACTTTAAAATCCCCCCCCCCCCGCCCCAAACACACAGAGAACACAGGGGTCTCGGGCAGGGTGAGTGAGAGCCGCTCAAGGTGTCAGTGTTTCTGAAACCCCGAGTCCTTGCAGAGCATTTGTTTGTACCAAGAAAGAGGCTCCCATGCATGTTTCATATATAGCCTGAGAGGCAGATAACGGGGGAAGGAGTGGATGCTGGGTGCTTGAGATGACACTGTGTCTCTTGGGCATGTTGAGGGCTTGTTTGTGCCAGAGAAGGGGTTCCCGTCTGCACTTCAAGTTCTGGTTTCATCGAGAAACTTGTCATGTCCAGGCAGATCAGAGGAGTGACTTAAAGAGCCAATTAGCATTGATTTGATTTCCACCTCTTAAGTTTTGTAATAGGTTTTGATTGTGATAAAACTTATGTAGTTTTGTTTTAGTATCTTGGAGAATCCCAACTTTGAAATTGTCAAACAACAACATATCATATGTCTTGAATATATACTAAACGTGTATTCTTTGGCTATATTTCAGTCAATTAAATTTGTTTTACTTTATGGGAGATCGAGGAGTACCTTCAAAATGCTATATGAAATATTTTTAACATTAATACTGTTGGTGAGAAACTGATCAACATACCTTTGTATAGTTACTGCAGACAAATGAAACCACGGCGCTGACAGCGGGTAGCCTCCGTCTCATTCCAGTGGTATTGTGCTTCTTCAAATTAAGATCATGTTTCGAGTAAACACTGATGAGTACTGATGAAGTAAAGATGTTGCTACGTGTCCTTGCCTCCAGGCACATGTTTTTTGTATATTTTAGAGGACAAACATGTTCAAAAGAATTTTTCCATCAGCCATTCTCTCGTTTCATTACATGCCATTGCCAGAACCTCTGAAATATTATCCGTGTTTACTCTTGTTTTGTGCCATAAAGCGATACAGCAGATTTCTAACAAACTCAGACACAGTGGTGCATGATGGTAAATGTTGTGAGTGATGTTTTTTACAATACTTTGTGACAATTATGTTGCTTGAATTATTAAGAATTTGAAAATATGAGACAATAAATGTGAACGTTAATGAATCCAGATTGCTTTTAATCATTATCAAAATGCTTCAAAATAAAGATTACTCATTTCAAGACAAAAATCTGATTTTTAACTGCAGTTTAAAAGTTGCATTTATTCTGTTGATTATACAGTGCAGTGCAAACCAAACCAAATGTGGCTTTTTGCTGGCTCTCCGTTATAAAAACCATCAATCAAAAGTATTTAGCAACATTAAAATTTGAATTATTCAAAAGGATTTGCACATGCACGTTGTTTTTTACGATAACAATGCATTTTATTCAAAACAAACAATTTCACAAGTTAGCGACCACCTGTGATTGAAGTTGTTCTGATTGGTGCTTTTGTTGGAGTGAAGTGCTCTCAGTCCTCACGGCTCATGATTGGACAGCACTCGTCCACATGCAGACTCTTTTTGAAGGACAAACAGACGTGGGAAAGCAGCAGAAGAGGCCACAGGCAGAGTGAGCGTTCAAGAGCTGAATTCATTAATTTGTCAAAACACCATCCTTGTGAATGAATGTTCCCTGGATTGTATTGCTAACTGGGAATGACCTGAGAGGAAGAAAGGCCTCTCTAACCGCACCGTTGTAAGAGGAACATGAGGAGCATGGGCTGATTAAACAAAATGAATTTACATTACCGTGTTTTACTCTCTTTCTCTAAATCTCCCTTTAAATTCCTCGCTGTCGTTACCAATCAACATAATCATACAGGTTTCAAACTTGGTGCTTGCTTTTAAAAATCCAGCGAAGGATCTTTTTGTCTTCTCGGTATCGCCATCCAAACTCTTGAACAATGTAATTCACTGTGAAAGGAAAGCCATACTTCTCAGAATTCCCTCTGTTTAAGAATTGTTGAGTTGTACTGTCTGAGCGAAGGACCTTCTCTGCATCTCACAAAATCCTCCCGGGCCTGAATTATGCTCTTCAAGCTGTCAGTGGAGATGAAACGTAAGACCACTTACCAGCATCTTGACATTGCGTCACTTTGACAAATCAGACTGGTGCTCCTTGAGTGGTGATTGGGAATGGCAGGGCAGAGGTTCATGAATTCACAATGTGGGCGGTAGATGGGGAACAACTCTGAAGCAGACAGCTGCTGCGTTTGTGTGTGTGTGTGCCTCAGGGTTCATAAATGTTTCATCTTTCTTGGCAATAAGAGGAGAAACCCGGATAGTGGAGTTGACATGAGTGGAGACACAGTCAAGGACAAAGTGACTCAGGAAAGTCAGAGCAAGTGGAGCGAGAGCCTGGAGTGCAATGCACTGAATGACAATAGCCGTAGTCCGCTCTGATTGGGAGGATGTGACTATTTCCAGCTTGTGCCACTGAGGACCCGGTGTGTGTCAAGCTCAAAGAAAATGAACACAATCCTTCATGTTTTCAACATTTTTGAAGGTGACTCCATTACATCAAACACAGAACAATTAGATTCCATATGCCTCTATTTTCGTTGTTGTTTTTTAAATCTTTTCAGGGAAATTGGTAAAACAGTATTAGTATCCTTGGAAAAACTGCACTGTCACTTTGAATTTCCCTTCATTTCCCAAGATTCTCTTGAGCTAGTTGCTGCAGCAGGCCCTTTTCACAGCAGACATTTAGACTTTTCACTATAGGAAAAGCACAGATGTTACTAATCACCTTAACAATGCTTCTTTTCTATTCTATTGTCACAGTAAGTCATGACAGTGATCCAAAATGCACAATACCGGGACCCTGAAACTGAATCAGGTAAATGGCCATTCAGCCATCATTTTTATTTCATTTACACCAACAGAAAAAGTTCCATTAGATCTTTTTCCTTTACAATGGGACCCAACACAAGAAATATCAATCTGTTTTTTCTATCAGGGTACAGTGAGTGAGAAAAAATTAACGTGGTTTAATTCCAAACCGCACATTGTTTGGCCTTTTCTTCAGGTTCCAGTCAAATGTTGCTGTTTTTTTCAGAAAGCTTTGCACAAGGAGCCCTTTAGCAATCAAACACTGATTACTTTCCATCAATTGAAAAAAACGAAATCAAAGAAAAATGCTTTTGAAACAGCTGCTGCGTCTGTGAGGGGGGGGGGGGGATGTACTGCCACAGTTTCCACACAGCCATAAATGTTTGGCCATATACTTAGAGACACTATCTTAGACTGCATGTTGCTATTCTTATGGTTTTTGTTTGTTTGTTTGTTATTTTGTAAGTTGTTTTAAGTGAGGTTTTTGTAACTAATATGTATTCCACTCTAATACCAAATGCATACAGAGAACAAGATTAAGAACAGCTGAGTGGACAGCTATTGGATGTGATGAAATATGGAGGCTTACAAGCCAGCAGTGATCCAATATTTAGATATTCGACTGGACTTAATATTACCACTGCACATGTGTGTAGGAAAAGTCACACCAGAAGGACCAGAGACCTCCATCTCTTTCCTCTGTGGATTTTCGGGCTTTAGGAGAACTTTATTAGCTGTCAGGGATGGGTCATAAAATGTAAGAAATCACAAAACAAACACAGCTGGAATAATTTTCTCCTCCGTCATCCAAGTTTAGGAAATCGCACAAGAGGTCATAACTTTACTCTGGGAAGAACTGTCTACATGCTCCATGTGCTGCAGATATTACCACCACCATCATTTGTACAGTGGTTTAGCCACACTATTGCAGCGGGGATACAGAGTGGAAATGTCATTTGGTCAGTCGGTTTGGTCCAGAGTGAAATATCATTGAACATTGAATGGATTGCCATGAAATTTGGTATAGACATGCATGGTCCCCAGAGGATGAATCTCCTGATCGACTAATGACATCCCATCTCCAGCTGTACTTTCGGTTTACTGTAATTGATAGCATATTAGCACACTAAACTAATATTTTAACTCATAATTGTGTTATTAATTCCTTTTTTTCTTTTACTTTGAGGCAATAATGTTTTTTCCTATACTGTTGTAGAATTTCACTTTTCCTTTTTTTTCTTTTCTTCATATCAGAGCAGAAATTTGGTATCTACGTTATTAAAACCACGATGTAATGAGTTGCATTTTTTCAATATCTAAAGAAAATGTTATGTC